AAACATTTGGCAAGGAAAGTACGAGGTATTTTGAGGTTGTTCATTGCAGGGCTCACCCTGCACAAATACAGACACCAAGGAAATCAGAGAGCTGATTAATACCCAAAAAACACTGATATCTGACTACATGGAAATGGTGGGGCAAAGGAAAACAGATTAGATGGAGCAGAATTTGAAGACTCAGAAATTTGATTATTCTGCTTTGTATGGTTAACAGGCCTGTGGTTAAATTGGGTAAGTCTATAAAGGACCAGCCTCAATTTTGAAACCAAACATGAAAAAAACAATGTTGAGTGAAAAAAGGTTCTGACAACAGTAGGCCATATACCTCCAGTTTTTATAACATCCTTTTAGAGCGCAAACGAAGCTATACTATATAAGGTTTAGGGTAACGTGAGCTAAGTATGTTTAGGCAAGGGATAGGTGAACCAAATGCAGAACAGCAGCAGTTACCTCTGAGATTGAAGGTTTGACAGGGGTTGCGTTTGAGGAGGGACCTCAGGGTAATGTTCTAGTTCTTACATTGCGTGGGAGGTTCAGGATCATTCGTGCTATCATGTCTTATAACTTGGGTATGTTACATTTATGACACAGTTTTATCATGGAACATGTGATATATACAAAAGAATATATGAGCATAAATAATGTAATGTAATCTATATAACCTTTTGTAATAAAAACAATTTTTTAACCAAACTGACCTTGGGGCTGGAAGAGAGCCGTTCCAAGGTTCACATTTAGGAAGAGAGCCTGGTGGCAGTACTGTCCCTGTGTCTCATTTCCCAAGAGAGTTTTCTCATTTGGTTCTCACTGCCCCCACCATGCCCAGCCCCAAACTGTCGCCTCTGCTCTTGGGTCCTCTGCAGGACCAAGAGGACACAAGCCTGTCTCCTTCCAGTCCTTTGAGCACAACCAGGGCAGGGTAGCGGTCTCCAAAAGCTGTTCTACAAAGTGATAGCGAGTGGGAAAGATATAAGCACAGAAAGACAAGCAGAAACGTGGTGTGGCACACTGGCCCCTAAGTGGCTGACGCTCTCTGCCCTCAGACTCATCATACCCTCTCGCCTTCCCTTCCCTTGCTCATGTTCACCCTCCAGCAATACCCTGTTGCTTGGGGTTCTCTGTGCACTTCTGTACGTCCAGGCATTCATCTGTGCTGTTTCTTCTGCCTAGAATGCCCTCCCCACCTTTCTCTGCCTCATCATCTCTTGCCCCTTACCACTCAGCTCAGACACCCTTCCCCATGAAGACTTCTGAGGACCATCACACTGGGCAGACCCACCACACATGGCTCGTTACCAGCCCCGGGGTGAGCATGACCTCCACGAAGGGGCAAATATTCCTACTTGGCGTCTGTGTCCACTGAATAGACTCAAGTCCTGGCACAAAGCAAATGCGCAGCCAACCCTGGTAGGATGGAGATAGGCCAGAGATAAAGTTCCAAAGACCAGATTTCTGATCCAAAGATTTCAAGGAGAAAAGTACGACTTTTCTGAGTCTCCAACCTCCTCACCCTGAAATTACCCCATCCCAGATCCAAAGGGCGGGGACTCTTTTGCACACACACCTTGCTTGGCTAACCACTGGTCCCTCCCTTATTCATAGCCAAATGGCTCCTCACATCCCTCTTCTCTGTCCAATGCATCTTTGGCTATTCCTGGATCAATCAAAGTTCAAACCCAAGACCCCTTATATTCTCTATCTCATTTCTGGCTTCCAAACTGAAGGATGGTTCTTCCTGGCTGAGAGGAAAGATCACATGATAAAAGATCTGAACCCTCAGGCCTGAGGTGATTGTCCTGCCTCCTCTGGAGCCTCTAACCACCGATTGTCTTACGGGAGCCCTTATTCCTGGAACAGAAGGGGCTTTATCACATCCCACATCAGACTATTTTAACCATAGGGGTCAGGCTATGATTCAAAGCATGCTGGGAACTCAGCCACAGAGCTAGTAGGGTAGGGGAGGAAGCTTGAGGAAAGTGGGATGACGGGTGGGAAATCTGACCTTCTCCAGATGTTGGCCCCAAAGCTCAGCGGCAGTGAGATGCGCAGCTGAGCTCAAGCTTGAGCCTGCACCTAAGAGACCTAACCCAAAGGGGTATAGTGGTCACACACTTGGAAACAAAGTGGGCAGAATGGTTCTAAAAATAATTATTTTAAATTAGATTCTGGGTTTCTTTGATGGCTGAGTAATATTCCATTGTATGCATATGCCACGTCTTCTTCATCCATTCATCCATCCATCAATGGACATCTGGGCTCTTTCCATAGTTTGGCTATTGTGGACATTGCTGCTATAAACATTAGGGTGCAGGTGCCCCTTCGGATCACTACATTTCTATCTTTGGGGTAGATACCCAGTAGTGCAATTGCTGGGTCATAGGGAAGCTCTATTTTCAACTTTTTGAGGAACCTCCATACTATTTTCCAGAGTGGCTGCACCAGCTTGCATTCCCACCAACAGTGTATGAGGGTTCCCATTTCTCCGCATCCTCACCAACATCTGTTTCCTGACTTGTTCATTTTAGACATTCTGACTGGTGTGAGGTGTATCCCATTGTAGTTTTGATTTGTATTTTCCTAATGCCGAGTCATGTTGAGCATTTTTTCATGTGTCTGTTGGCCATTTGTTTGTCTTCTTTAGAGAAATGTCTGTTCATTTCTTCTGCCCGTTTCTTAACTGGATTATTTTTTCTTTGGGTGTTGAGTTGGTTAAGTTCTTTATAGATCTTGGATACTAGCCCTATATCTGATAAGACATTTGCAAATATCTTCTACCATCCGTAGGTTGTCTTTTGGTTTTGTCAACCACTTCCCTTACTGTGCAGAAGCTTTTTATCTTCATGAAATCCCAATAGTTCATTTTTGCCTTTGTTTCCTTTGCCTTTGGAGACGTGTCTAACAAAAAGTTGCTGTATCCAAGGTCAAAGAGGTTGGTGCCTACGGTCTCCTCTACGATTTTGATGGACTCCGGTCTCACATTAGGTCTTTCATCCATTTTGAGTCTATTTTTGTGTATGGTGTAAGAAAATGATTGCCCTGGATTTTGTGAAGCAATCCCAGACAGCTGGCTATTTTGTAGAAGTTTCAGTATGCAAATCTAAATGATAATGACTCTCCTTAAATTTGACACTAATGATATCAGACCCTCAAATTCCTTAATATTAACTACTTCAAATTATCAAATATCCAATCAGTCCTCTAAAAGGTCTTTCCTTTTATTTTTTCCAGTTGGTTTAATCTGGAGCTAACCAATGTCTTCTGTGATGTGTTAAAATATCTCCCAAGTCTCTTTTAATTTATAGGTTTCTCCTCTGTCTTTTTTTCCCATATACCTTTGCTGCTGCTACTGTTGTGGATGATGTTAAAACTAGGCCATGTGTCTGGGACTCTCCCAATCTTGGTTTTGCTGATGGAATCCCTGTGGTATCATTTGACTTGTTCCTCTGTTTCCTGTATTTCTTATAAATTGGTAGATTCATGTACACTTTGCAGGTTGTACCTTACAAGTGGCAATGTGCATTCCACGGATGGAAGACTGATGTCTGATTGTCCCTTTGTTGTCATGTTCGGCAGACTATGATATCCTAAATTCTATAATTCCTTCTGCACTTATATAAGCCGGAATATTTCTATGAAGAGAAATCTTCTTTATCAGTTATGTGATTACCCTAAAGTATAGTTCATATAGGAGAGGCAGGATATGTGCTTCTTTTCCTTTCCTTAACCAGTTTTCAAAAATAATGAGTCTGACCCCTAGACACTTCTAAAGGCAATCAATGAGGCTTTATTATTTATTATTTATTTGTACTATCATAAATTTATTAATAGAAGCGTGTTTGATGTGCTTCAAGGTGAGATATTTATAGATTTTTTCAGGGTCTACCATAGACCCTGCATCCTTTAATGTAGACAGGCTAATTAGCTTGGGCAACTTGGTTATGCAATAGTTGAGGATTGCTGGACAGGCAAGGGGAGGGTTCCAAGTGAGTCTTGAAGGGGGCAGTCATGTGATAAGTGAGTTGATGATCGGTGGTTCAGAGTAGGAACTGTTATCCTGATAAGAACTAGTTGGGTAGTTGGTCCATTGCTCCAATAAATGGATTTTTAGGAAATTCCTAAAACAAACGAAAAAGATACTTGGAGATATATATTTGCCATGAGATCCGTCCATGCAGTCTGAGGCTTATTTACTTCTTTCAGCCTTGGAATTTATCACCATTAGGTCTTCAAACATTTCCCCCTCTCCATCTTTATATCACTGCTTTTCTGTCCTAGCTCTATCCTTGTTATTAATTAGGAAATTTAAAATAAGCTGCCTATTTCCTTTTTTTTTTTTTTTCAACCTTTTCCTGCTGCCTCGGGAGAGTTGCTGAAACTGCTCTTCCCATCACCAATTCGTCTTCAGCTGTACCTGTTCTACTACCTTCATCCCACGTTGTTAGTAAATAGCAGCAATGAACATTCATTCCAATCATTATATTGTTCATGCTCTGATATTTCTCCTTAGTTTCCTGCTATCTTTCCTGACCCAGGCTGCTCCAGCAGCGCCCCCCCCCCCGCCCCCCACGGCCGCGTTGGCAAGGAACCACTTTGAAAGGGCCTGGGTTTAACTCCGAGCTCTACAGCTTACTGGCTGCGTCTCATCGGGCGTGTCCCATCACGGCTGCCCCGTGCCTCAGTTTCCCCCATGGCTGCGCGGATAGCAATGCCTTCAGCCTTGTTGCGGCCGGGGGTCGAGCGCTACCTGCCCGCGGCTGCAGGTCAGCGGCACTGCGGGGGGGGGGGGGGGGCTGGCGGAGACCGTGCGCCGCGCAGGCCGCAGCGGGGGCTGGTTCACCGGGTCGCGGCGGGGTCGGGCTGCGCTTGGGGGACGGGGGGGGGGACCCGGGCCTCCCCGGCGCGGGCGGTCGGGGCCAGGGCCGCACCCGCGGGGCAGCGACTGTCGGCGGCTCCGCGAGGCGGCGCTGCGCCCCTTCCCGGCCCGGCTCCCCCCGCGGGGCCCGCGTCCGCGCCAGTCCCGGCCCGGCCCAGCGCAGGATGCAGCGCCCCGGCGCCCCGGCCCCGGTGAGCGACCGCCCGGGGGGAGGGGGGCCGGGGGGGCCCGGGGGGACGCTTCGGGCGACCTCCTGGCACGCCGCCGCCTTCCCCCGCGCGCGGCTAAAGCCCCTGCCCCGGCGCCCCCGAGTCTCGGGGCGCACCTGGGTGGTGGGGGGGGGGAGCGGGGACCCCACCCGGTGCCGGGGCGGAGGCTGGCTGCGCCGCGCAGGTGCACCTCCAGGTGAGGACCGCGCGCGGGGACCCCCCGCCCGGCCGCTGCGCACCGAGCAGGGGCTTCAGAGGCTCCGTGGAAAGCTTCGGGGAGCCACGCTCAAAAAAATAATTAATACATAAATAAATAAATGGAAAAAGAAAAGTTACTTTGAGCAGCCTTCAGTATGTTTGGATTCGGGTTGGGCCCCGTATGATTATTTATCCTCTTTCCTCAACTCCCCACGTCCCCCACCTCCCCCCACTGCCCCCCCCTTTTTTTTTTCTTTTTGGTCTGGAAGGCTTCTGCAGAGAGAACCCCCCGGCCAAGAGAGTGGAGACCTCAGCTCTATAGGAAGTGCACGGATACGACCTGGCTGTTCCTGTTCTTCCTCTTCTGGACTGGTCTGGTGAGTGTGGGTGCCAAGGAGGGGAGAGAGCCCGCGTGTGTCCCGAAGTGACTGTGCCCAAGTGGGACTCGCGATCGTGGGGAGGCCCGGGCTGCAGGTGGTGCAGGGGCCCCGGGCTGTGCTACCGGGAGACGCGCCAGCGGATCCTCCGGAGCAGACCTCGGTCCTGGGTTGTGCCTACCAGGGGACTTGGCTAAACTGGAGGGGCTGCCTGTTGCTGCAGGCCCCGTTCTAGGGCGGCCTCCAGGAGGAAGTGGGAACCCCGTGGCAGGATTGTGTGGTCATCTGGGCTCACTGCCTGCAAGTTCGCTGGCCATCTCAGCCCCCAAACAAAATATTCGTCAACTGTTTGCTGTTCTTCTAATACAGGAAAATCTAGAGTGAGCCTAGAAATAAACTGCTCTCCCTTTAGCTGAACACATAACATACACACTGTCGGTGCCTGTATGTAGCAGCTGACAAGGAAACGAGCCTTGGGTGTAAACTCTCGAGTTAGACAGGTAATGATTTTTTTCCCCATTCTAGTTTCCAGCTGTGCGGGATTGCTGGTAGACCTCAACAGGCTGTGTCATTTTAGTCCTGTCCCTTTAGTCTCTTGGCAGCTAAATCCTGACACTTTGATACTTATTTTAGAGCTGTGGGTAACAGCAGAAGGAGCCCCACTCAGCTTCTTTAAAGATCAGATTCGTGCAGTCATCCGGGCTAGATTGAGGCATGCTATTTGCTGCAAGGTTAATGATTAATTTATAAAGCAGCATAATAGCTGCCTCATAGTAATTAGCTTTGTTGCAAAGATTTCAATTTAAATAGACTCTAAAACACCATGTTTGTTCCTCTTTCCAAGTCCCTCTTTCTTTCAAAAGGCCTGAATTCACTTATTCACTTTACCTACTGGTTTCTCATGATCAGACATGGTTACAGGTACGGGGGAAGGTTGGGTCTTAAAGGTGAACTGAATGTTGTGCATTGTCATACCCTGGTCCTCTGAGAGAGAGAGTGTGTGTACCTTCACCACCTCCTCCCTAACTGCCCACAGGTGGCTGCTGTTGCTCTCTCCCGGCCTCCTGTTGTGCAAATGCAGGGAGCAGTGGTCCTGCAGGCACTGGGAAGCGTGGACCTCAGGCTGTTCATGTTCTTCAGGGATCTCCCCTGGCCCTTCCAGGCTTCAGACCTAGTACATCACGACCAAACCCTCAGCCCAACAGCCACGGGGGTTGGGGGGGGGGGGAGATTTGTTGATGGCCCATCACAGTCTGAAGAATTATGAACCATCTGAGAGATGGCACAGAGCTGGAAGCTGCTTTCTTTCTTTTTTTTTTTTATAAATTTATTTTTTATTGGTGTTCAATTTGCCAACATATAGAATAACACCCAGTGCTCAGCCCGTCAAGTGCCCACCTCAGTGCCCATCACCCAGTCACCCCCACCCCCCACCCACCTCCCCTTCCACCACCCCTAGTTCGTTTCTCAGAGTAGGAATCTTTCATGTTCTGTCTCCCTTTCTGATATTTCCCACTCATTTTTCTCCTTTTCCCTTTATTCCCTTTCACTATTTTTTATATTCCCCAAATGAATGAGACCTATAATGTTTGTCCTTCTCCGATTGACTTATTTCACTCAGCATAATACCCTTCAGTTCCATCCACGTCGAAGCAAATGGTGGGTATTTGTCGTTTCTAATGGCTGAGGAATATTCCATTGTATACATAGACCACATCTGCTTTATCCATTCATCTTTTGATGGACACCGAGGCTCCTTCCACAGTTTGGCTATTGTGGACATTGGAAGCTGCTTTCAAATTACATGTCGTTGCAGAATAATTTTGAAGGCTTCAATGTGCCCGCCTTCTCTTTACTGTATTGCATTTGAGTAGCGAGAGTCCCTCAAGCTGACTGGCTTTTCCTATCTTCTGCAACATTTTTTTAACCACAGATACTTCAGGGAGTATTTTCTGCCTCTGCTGCTCAGCTTCCTGGTCTTCTGACATCCTGACCTGTAACCAGGCACATGCTAGACGCGGTTGTTGATGGTGCTGCCCTGACTTAGGGTTGAACAAAGGAGGTTTAGGGTTTAGGCTGAGGGGCCAGAATTATGGGCAAGTGCAGGCTACTGCAAAGACAAAGGGTGCCAGCCTTTGTTTATATCTGCCTAAGACACGCAGAACAGAATCTCTCAACTTCTGGACCATGTCTGGCTCTACTTACCTCTGCAGTGTCCTTCCCTACCTGCCATCTCTCGTTCCTTTGTAAGACTTTTCTGGATCTTCCCTGGCACAGTTGATAGTGACCTCCTTGGTAGCCTCACCACACCTGGTATCCACTCCTGTGTCACCCATCATATGGAATTGTAATTGTGTGTATGAAATCAGAACAGAGTTTGATGGTTTCGGGTAGTAGTAGTACAGCAGGGACTCAGTGTGAACCAAACCCCTCCTGCCCTAAAACTTCCATTCCTCCCACAAGCTTCCCAAGGGAGATAGTAACATAAAGAATGCTGATAAACAGAAAATGCCCCTTCATTATTAGCTCTCTGGTGAGCGGGGCGGCAGCACAGGATCCCTTCCCTCCAAGTCCAGACTCAGGCAGGATCTTCCCACATGACAAGCTGAGAGGGCAGGTCAGCGGCCTGCCAGCCATGTGGCTGTGCAGTCACTCACCCTCCAAGTACAGGGTGAGTGAACTGCCCACCAGCAAAGGTGACACTCTCGTCCTAAAATCTGACCATAAGCCTGAGGAGGTGCTGGGGAGGGACAGGGATAGAGAGCCTGCCCATCCTCTGGGCTGAGTTCCTTGAAGGCAAGCACTGGGTCTAGTTCATTTTTACCCACAGTAACAGTCTCTGGTACACACCGGGCATTTCAAGACTGTTATTTTGATTCCTAAATTAGTAGTGAATGAGGAATATCTGCAACATATTGACTTTGGGACAATGTACCTTTGGAACGTGGGGTGTCATAACTATATTTTACTGAGTGGTGTTCCCTATCCTCACTCCTGGAATGATCCTGTCCTGTCGGTACTAATCATTAAATGCTATGTGTTGTAAGCTGGGAAACTTGCATTGTGGGAAAGTGCAGTCCCAGGGGAGGGCCCATTAGCATATATAGTGCAACGGTCATCTGAGCTGAAATTTCAACAATTCCATATTCATGATGAAATTGGATAAAGGTGACTACAGGTGGTAAGGTATTGTTGTCCAGAATTCCAGAGTTTCTTTATTTGTGCATCTGAAGCCCTTACCCCCAAATACTGTTTTCTCACTTGTTACGAGCAGTATTTCGGTTCACATCGACTGTGTTACCTCTGCCTCTGAGGGTCCAAGTCCCCTAAATATAAGACAAAAAGGAAAGAGGAAGAAGGGGAGGGGGAGGAGGAGAAAGGGACAGAGGGAGGGAGGAAAGGAGGGAAGGAAGGAAACTCAGGGAAAGAAGTAGCATAACCCTGGTGCCCTTAGATAAAGCAAGACCTTAGGGGGTGGGTGGGAGTGCGGTGAGGGGGAGTGGGGGCGTGGGGGTGGAGGTTGGGGTGGGGGGATTTGAATTGCCCTGGTGAACTTAGGCCCAGAAGAAAAAAAATGGCACTCTTGAGAAAGAGGGTATGAAGTACGTGGAGGTAAGAACATGGCCAGAAATGTGGTCAACCCGTTAGAATGATGCTGCTACCTAACCCATTAAAACGAGTATGAAGGTAACAGCATCCTGCCTGATGGGACTTACTGGCATTGTCACCGAAGGAGAGCAATACCGTGATGCTGGGGAGATTTGCTTTCTACCTGGCTCGGCTTTACATCAACCTCTCCAGGGATGTGGGGCCCATGTCTTCAGCCCGCTGGCCAGGCCCTCATGTGCCACTTGGGTTTTGCCAGATGTTCATCACCGGCTACTCGGTGGCAGCGGGAGCCACGGCAAGACTTCTCTTTGGCTACGACAGCTTTGGGAACGTGTGTGGCAAGAAGAACTCCCCAGTAGAAGGCGCCCCTCTTTCAGGGCAGGACATGACCCTCAAAAAGTAAGTGTTCAAGTAAGTCCCCAACCTAGGGGGGCTATGCTGTATTTCAGAACTGTATAAATTAGCCATTTTGAGCCTAGCAACTGTTTTTCCGTTTAAAACTATCAGCCCATTTCATAAAGAGGGAGGCACGTGTGGGGTAGTAAAGACACAGGTTTTTAAATCAGCCAGTCCTAAGTTCAAGTTTGGCCTGTGCTGCTTTTCAGCTGTCTGAGGATGGGCAGCATATTAACCTCTCTAAGTCAAGTTTTCATCTTTTCAACTGGTTATGATACCCACCTCACAAGGTTGGTTTAAGGATCCACTGAGAGGCTACATGAACTAAGGCTTAATATATGTTAGTCGCTACTATCGTTCTCTATACTGTATCCGGATCATGTTGCCAATTATATGTTACCGATTGCACGCCCATCCACAGTACTTTATCTATGTGGAAATACCCGAATCCCAACTGGGATTTCTGGGGACCTGTGTCCCACTCCATCCCCAGTCTACACTCTCAACTATATGGCCCTGTGGTGTCACCACCCCCTACAACTCCAACATGGAAACAGAAAGGGGAGAGAAGAGATGGAAATCTCCTGAGAGGTGAGAGATCCTTGGCCATGATTTATCTAAGGTGGTGACTGCCTTTTAATAATTTTTGAGACTTGATGATTACAAGCACACCCTAGGAGAGAAAATGTGGATCTAAATAGGTCCTGAATATGAATTTGAAGTCACCAAATACAAATCTCAGACCAGGCCTCTTCTACCCCTGAATGTTATTCCTGAGGACAGGGGCTTTGCCTTGTTGGACATGGACAGCCTGGAGGCATTTCCTCCTGCACTTGGGGGTCACTTATAAAGAAGACAAAAGGAAGAAGAGAGGCTGCCCAAATGTAGCCATGCATTTGAAGAAATGGTTGTTCTTTTGCGATTGTAAAGTATAGATTTTATTCTCAGTAACCAACAGGTCTAGAAGCAACCAGGTGTCCCATCAGCAGATGGATGGATAGACATGATGTTGTATATATATATATAGCGGGAACTTATTCAGCCTTAAAAAGGAATGACATTCTGACACTGAGTCAATCTTGAGGATATTATGCTAAGTGATATAAGCCAGTCGCAAGGAAGAAAAATATCTTATGATTTCACTCTCTATACCTAGAGTAGTCATATTCACAAAGACAGCGGAATGGCAGTAGCCAGGGGCAGGGAAGTTGTTGCTTATAGGTATAGAGTTTGGGTTTTGCAAGGTGAAAAGAGCTCTGTGGGTGGGTGGTAGTGATGGTCCCACAGCGGTGGGAATATACTTAATGCCACTGCACTCTACACCTAAAATGGTTAAGGTGGTAAGAATGTTATAAATATTTTACCATAATTTTAAGAAATTAAATAGTGTGAATTTATCATATGTTGAAGACAGCTGTTGTCCCATCTCCTATTATACCACCTCCATCTCTCCCAACTCTCCAGGTCCCTCCCCTAGAGGACTGCCTACCTGGCAGCCTCCAGGGCTCTTCTGGGTTCCCCTAATCTCAGGAGCCTGGAGAGGTGTTGGGCATGGTCTGGGAGCCCCCACTGCTTGCCTGGCTCATGACCCCATTAATAGCAACAACCAGCTTTGTTCTCTCGCCCATCTAGCCAATGGCGGAACAGCTAGAGTGAGAAAGTCTCCTGAGTTTCCTGGCTCTCAACCTGAGAAGCAGGGGGAGGGGCAGGCTATTAATTCCCTGCCTCAGCTCCCTGCCTTTCCACTTCTCACTTCCCTGAGTTCAACTCTTGTCCGAAGTAGAGCTGAACACTTAGGTGCAGAGATGTCTTCCATGGACTTCATTGAGTAGTTTATGCACTGGCCTGCGCTAGCATTCCCTGGGGGTTGAATCAATCCCTTCTCTTCCTCAGTGACTTCCTCAGATCACTACTTAGTGTTCTCTCCTAGGAAGTGCCAAATCTGGAAAAAGAGACATTTTATGAGATCTGAGCGTGGTTCCTACACTGCACCATCTCCATAGATAACCCCCAGTAGGCATAATACATGGTAAATTATGCTGAGGCATTTGGTTATAAGAGTTTGCCTTAATTATTCCCACATTTGATAACATGTGGATTTTTTTAAGGCCCATAATTAAACCCAATGAGAGGAAATGCTCTAAGATATTCTTGTGTTTCATCGGTTTCCTAGACACGTGTTCTTTATGAACGCCTGCAACCTGGAAGTCAAGGATGTGAGGCTCAGTTCCACCATCCTCTGCGTGTCCAGCTGTCCTGAAGAGCAGCTTGATACCCTGGAAGAGGTCCAGCTCTTTGCAGACAACAATGGTAGGCACCGAGGGACAGGGCCTCACTCTTCCCCCTCAGGCTGGGAACCACAGTGGGGTAACTGGTGCAGACCTAGATGAGACGACTTACCCGGACACTGATTTCTCTGCAAAGCTGGAAATTGTCCTTCCGTGTGGATACCTCTTGCATGGAAAAGGCCATAAATGTTTTCTCCTGGGCTTGCACGCTTTCATTCAGACTTATCTGGAGTTTATCTGAAACCCTAGCTGTTCTCTGCTCACTGCCAGGGAATGGTCTTCCATACAGAGCCTAGTGTAGACTGACATCTAGGGCCCAAAGGCAGGGTCACACAGAGGTCAGAGAGCTCTGTGCACACAGGCACATACAGTCCTAGAGAAGGGCTGCTGGCTGTGGGCTGAAGTACCAAGTATGTTCTTTCGTGAAAATGTTGGGGCCCATGGATAATTGCAGTAATCATTAGTGTAACTGAAGTACCTTACTCTGAGCCCCCTGTTGAGATTTACCTTATAAGGAGTAAACAAGCAGAGCAAAGTAAAAGAAATTCGAGGCAACCCACTGCAAATTTTATCTGCCTATGAAATGGTGTGCCAGATTTTGAAAAAATTATTGGCAAGGCTGTGTTAAAAATATCAAGCCTATGCAAAAAATCATCTTCAAAGACCTTCGAATGATTTTTTTGTGCCAATCACATGACTTTTAGTTTTGAATTGAGATTTAGGGGACAGAGAGAGAAAAAAAGGGACCTAATTTGACCTCAAATTGTATGCTTATTATGCTTTTTTGCCTTTAGGTCACCGATAGACCTGTTTTCTAAATCTGAGTGATTTATTCCTTTTACTTCCCGGTTTGGGAAAAGAACTATGGTTTTCTTACTGGCTCCCTATAAAAATAAGCACAATGTAGGAAGATGGTACAGTTTGTGTGTCGTCTTCTTCCAGGTTCCTTCCTGTGTGTTTATAGTTTGGATTCCATCAACTACACCCAGAACCCAAACGCAGACTCATTGTGCCCCAGCCTACCAGTTCCTCCAAGGTAAAAAGCTTTCATATTTTTTTCTTGTCCATCAACAAAAGTCATGGGGTATTTGATGTGCATCTGTTGCTCCTGCAGGTATGGTTGGAAGCACAAAGGAGGTATCTGGTAGAGCCCACAGTCTAGAAAAGGCCAGGAATAAACAAGGAGGGACTCTCTGCAACATATATAATCGACAATGGATTAGGAATCAGGCTACAGAGGGAGAAAAGTCAACAATGAAGATACATATAGTCATAAAAGGACGACACTTGAGCTAGCAGAATTAACATGTGAATTATTACCAATTGAGTGGTTTTATAAAGTAGTTGGTATGTATTTTTTTCTACTCCAAGTATTTTTTTTTTAATATTTTATTTATTCACGAAAGACACACACACAGAGGCAGAGACACAGGCAGAAGGAGAAGCAGGCTCCATGCAGGGAGCCTGACGTGGGACTCGATCCCAAGGCTCCAGGATCACACACCAGGCAGAAGGCGGTGCTAAACCGCTGGGCCACGGGTACTGCCCTACTCCAAGTATTTATTACAAAGTAGAAATTGTTTCCTTTTGTTCTTTTATTACAACCAGACATTGTTAGTCTTTATAACTCTAGATATCTCCATAAGAAACAGACTCATATGGGCAAAACCAAGTGGCCACCACACACATCTTCCCAATGAGGACCGAAAACATGTCCTTCTCAAGGATTCTACTTGTGAACTCCTTCTAGCGTCCGCCGTTCCTATCAACTAGTGTAGTACCTGGCACATAGGAGGCACCTCACAAATATCTGTAGAATAAAGCTATAATGATGAAGCAGGAATTATATGGCCATAGGAAGAGGCTCACATTTGAGCCATTGAGAGCATAACCAGGAAAATACAACTGCTAATCATTGCCACTGTCAGGATGCTGAGATGTTCTGCAGGAGGACTTGGATTTATTTTGCATTACCATTCTTTAAAGTTTGTAAATATGTTTACAATGAATGAGACCTCTGCAAAATCCCTGAGAAGTAATGATAATTCAAGTAGAATAAGGTATTATGTCAGCGGTCTCATATAGTGTCTATCAAACTCTTTTTGGTTGGACCCACAGTAAGAACTGTATTGCATCACCACCCAGTGCTGTGTACCTATACCTTCATACCTACTTAGGAGTATAAAACAGAAATAGAAATGTCACACAACAAGATTTCTCCTTACTGCATCTGATTTGTACTAATAGTTCCAACTCAATTTCACTTTTTTTAAAACTGTAATTTATTTCATAAGCTAATGCATTTGTAAGTATAGCTTGAAAAATGCTGATCTAGCAGGTGCTTAAAACACTCGGGTAGATTGTAGTTACACAGGAGGGAGGAAAAATATAGTTAACCGTTCTCCTGGCATTCTTTTCTAAAATAAATACTTTGTGTGACAAGTAACTGAAAGAGGAGAGAAGTCATTTGCATAGGAGAGTATCCATTGTATATTTACCCATTGTATCTTATTTTTTAAATTCTGAGTTTTGTCAGATATCCTAAACATAGTTCAATGAAACATAACTAAATCCAAAATAAATAAACTATAGTGTTGTAGTAAGTTAAAGGAAAATTATTTAACAGTTTGAAGAGAAGGTTTTTTTTTTAAACCTTCTACCATTTGACCATCTTCCTATTCCCCCTCCCCCAGACCCGGGCCACCACCATTCTCTCTGCATCTGTGAAATTGACTCTTTTAGATTCCACATATAAGTGGGGTCATATAGTATTTGTCTTTTGAGAAAGATGTTTTTAAGGAACACAATTCATAACTGTGCCTGCAGAGGGAATTGAAAGAGGATGGGATTTTTTTCAGGTTGCAACTTAACCAGAGGTAGATAAATTCTTCCTACTATAAGTGGATTGGCCGCTGTAATTCCCTGGAAAGCTTATTATCTTGATGTTGCTGATGATAATGGCGAACATTTATTAAGCCTTTTGGTACTTGCAGGTCCTTTTCAAGCTCTTGACATATATTCATTTATCTGTACATCACAAATCCTACTGTGCTCTAGGCATTGTTTTCATCCCAATTTTGCAGTAGAAAGAACTGATGCAGGGACAGGTTAAGATGACACAAGCAGCCTGTGGAAGAGTTGGCATGCAAACCTGAACAGTGTCCATGTTAGTTTCTATAATCCAAAATCAACAGTCAAGGCTTCGTTGGTTTTATTTTGCCTGGCAAATGGCTTCCTTGGGCTCACACCAAGATGGGGGTGCAGGGAGCCCTGTAGCATGTGTCCCAGGGTCCCCATCTTTCTACCTGCCACGGCCTGTCCTAGGTCTTTCACCCCCGAAATGCAGACTTTTTTCACGGAAAGTCAAGCCTGTTGACTGGCCTTTCTTGGACAGAGTGAGGGAGAAAGAAATAGCCTTGAGGGCTCCATTTCCTTTCCCTACACAAGCAAGAGTTTGTTTTAAGATGGAAATTATCATATTTATCATGGAAGAGCAGTGCCAAGAGTAAAAGCTTGAAATCATGAGAAGTGTGGCCATAGGGCCAAAGAACATTTTCTAAATACCCCTATTGACTAAACCAATTGTTTGTTCTCCCTCTGTCGATCACATGAGGTGTAACGTACCCTTTTAGAGCAGTGGTTGGATATCAAGAAAGTTTGTGTCCCAAGGTATGAGCTTTTAACAGTAGTGAAAAAATACTGCAGAAGATAACAAGCAAGCATATCTTTTTCCCTTTGGGGTTCAACATAATATTGTATTTTGAGTTCCCGATGTAAAATCTAAAAGGCTTAGTTTTTTCCATCCAGTAAGTTCTAGTCCTAGCCTTCCTAATGGGTGCCCATGCATGTCACTGCATTGTTTGCTCAAATGAATTCCAACAGCGCCATCTAAATATACAGTCAGCTCTTCGAATTACTTCCTGCAAATGTGAGTGGCTTCACTGGTGGGGAGAGAAAAAGCAGAAGTGGGGAGGAAACCACAATCTGTGGCCCAAAGTCCTATCTCCTGCCCCAACTAATGAAGTGCTCAATGGGCAACTAGTCAACCACACACCAGGGATGACCCACATTTGACATGCTTCTTTGTGTCACCCTCAGGGCTGAGATGGGCCATACTTTACCAACAGAGGGTTGTAAAATGCCTGAAAAGCATCATCTTAACAATGTTGACAAAATTAAGGTCTTATGGCGAATTGTGTTTAGGGAAAAACAAAATGATGTTAAGTTTATATCTGACCAGTATTTTTCAGAAATACTAATTGAAAGCTCAAAAAACATTTGCTCTAGTGACAAGTCAGATTCACTGGTGTGAAGACTATTTTGTAATAGAAGAGAAAAAGAAACTAGAGGTTTAAAACTTGCAGAGCAGGAGGTAAAAATTACCACTCTACAAGTGGTAAGAAAATTAACTGAAAAACTATAAATGACAAGAGAACTTACTTATGTGGTAGGAAACACAATTAATATACTGAAATCTGCAGCATTAATACATTTTTAAAGACAGCTTTTACCACAGTGAGAAAAAATACAGACAAAAACGAAGTAGGTACTTGAGTGCCTAGAGACAAATTTAATAAGAAATGTACAAGAACCATAAAAAGAACACTTTAATATGTTCCTGAGCTACAAGGAAAACTTAAAAGAGAAAGACAGTGTTGTTGACAGTATGACTCAACATTATAAAGATGTCATTTCTCCCTAAATTGAGCTATAAATTTATCAAGATCACAAACAAAACAGAATTTTTTTTCAGTAACTAGATTAGCTGATTTTAAAATTTGTAAAGAATTTTTTTAAAAAGCCAAAAAAATCGAATGAGAAAAACAACATAGATTGCCTTTCAATTTTTTTTGCCTTTCAATTTTTAAAACATATTATATTATAAAGTTTAATAATTAAAATACTGAATAATTAAAATAACTGAACTAATGTGAGCTCACTCCTTGGTGAGTCACAGATACAAACTACACCAGGTGAGTTGTTGCACAAAGGAAATTTTATTCGCCAAAAATAAGGAGATCACGGAGAATAGATTCCAAAGCCCTGACTCCCCGAACAAGGGTGAATGGGTTCCTTCTACTTACAGTTAGGATCAATATTTAGAAAGGTTAGCCTCGTCCCCATATGTAGAGGCAGGCATGAGGTGGCACATGTGTCTTGAGGAAATGTGCCTGTACACACATTGTATATTATGTAAATAAGGCTTATGCTTCTCTTTGAGTGGAGATTTTAGTATTACAATTAGGTAAATGTAACAGTCACTCCATGGGTCACTCTGTGGTTCATCTGCACAGGTATGAGTTGGGGTTAAGCTCAAACAGGTCTGAGTGGCCTGGGTCAGGGCGGTATTATTGCTTGAGGGGCACTTTTGGTTTCCATCAGAAGATGCTGATGCCCCTCAGGTCTTTTGCCTAAGTTAAGAGATAGGCTGGAAAGAGTTTAAGGGGAAATGTGGTACAAAACTCATTGGGTTCAAGCAGGCTGGCACTATAGGTCACATCTTGGGGTCTAGCTGGTGATAGCACTAGTTCATGCATAGAAAGATCAACGGAAGAGGGATCCCTGGGTGGCGCAGCGGTTTAGCGCCTGCCTTTGGCCCAGGGCGCGATCCTGGAGACCCGGGATTGAATCCCATGTCGGGCTCCCGGTGCATGGAGCCTGCTTCTCCCTCTGCCTGTGTCTCTGCCTCTCTCTCTCTCTCTCTCTCTCTCTCTATTTCTGTGACTATCATACATAAATAAATAAAAGAAAGAAAGAAAGAAAGAAAGAAAGAAAGAAAGAAAGAAAGATCAATGGAAGATACTAGATAATCCAGGAATAGACCCAGATGCTTTCAGAAATTTAGCACATGATAAAAGTGGCATTTCAAATCAGTGACAAAATGATAGGCTATTGAACAAGTAGTGTTGGGACAACTGGACAGACATCCAAGGGAACAGCTGGATCTATGCCTCATGCTTTAAATTAATAAATTCCAAATGGATGAAAGATTTTATTTTTTAAATTAATTAATTTTTTTAGAGGAGGGCAGGGAGA